AGGTGGTCACAAAGCACAGAGCTGATCTCCCCGTGCAATGCAGCTCCTTCCCGTTAACTATCTATTTTACATATGATTGTGTATATATGTCAGTGCTACTCTCTCACTTCATCCCAACTTACCCTTGCCCCTCCCCATGTCCTCAAGTCCATTCTCTATGTCTGTGTCTTTATATCTGTCCTGCCCCAGGTTCTTCAGAACCATTTTTGTTGTTGTTGTTAGATTCCATATATATGTGTTAGCATACAGTATTTGTTTTTCTCTTTCTGACTTACTTCACTCTGTATGACAGTCTCTAGGTCCATCCACCTCACTACAAATAACTCAATTTTGTTATTTTTATGGCTTAGTGATATTCCATTGTATATATGTGCCACACCTTCTTTATCCATTCATCTGTCGATGGGCATTTAGGTTGCTTCCATGTCCTGGCTATTGTAAATAGTGCTGCAATGAACATTGTGGTACATGAATCTTTTTGAATTGTGGTTTTCTCAGGGTATATGCCCAGTAGTGGGATTGCTGTGTCATATGGTAGTTCTATTTTTAGTTTTTTAAGGAATCGCCCTACCATTCTCCATAGTGGCTGTATCAATTAACATTCCCACCAACAGTGCAAGAGGGTTCCCTTTTCTCCACACTCTCTCCAGCATTGATTGTTTCTAGATTTTTTGATGATGGCCATTGTGACCAGTGTGAGGTGATACATCATTGTAGTTTTGATTTGCATTTCTCTAATGATTAATGATGTTGAGCATCCTTTCATGTGTTTTTCAAACTATTTAAATAATGTTTGTAACTGGCTTTAGTATGACCATTCCATGTGTTTATTGTACTGCAACATTATTTTTAAATTGCATTATTTAGTATTATAAAGATTTTCCAAAATAAATTTGGCTTTGATCATAGCCTTAACTACAATTCGTAGTTTCTACGTTTTTCATTATATTGTAAACATTTTCTAAATGACGCTTTGGTTTTCTTATTGATTTAAGAGTTATTAAAATGAATACTTTGTGTTTACTTAATTTTCAAGGTATTTTCCTACTAAAATTAATTTGTGGCTTTTATTTCATTATAATCAAATAATCAGATCTATATTTTTACTGGTTTTGAATTTTTTGTATTTAATTTTCATTTAGAATATGACTAAATTTTGTAAATGTTCTACAAGCACAATAAGAATCGAATATTCTGTTTGATAGCTCAATACATAGCTCTAAAATAAATCCTATCAATTACATTATCCCATTTCTTGAACATCTTATTTATGTTCCTACAAGTTTGATATGTCAAGGACTGAGTAAAATGTATAAAAAATTTCCCCTCTGAAATGGGAAAGTTAAAAACTTGTATGAAAAGTCATAAATTTATGATTCTCACATACATCTTTCAAGTATTTCTTTTCAGGGAGAAAAAGGAATCTTAATTAGATGGAGCTGGGATAACTGATTAATTATTTTAGAAAAAAAAAGAGGTAAACGATTCATATCAGATAACAATAGAAACAGCATTCTGAATAAACTGACATATGGAAATAAATGAGAACATTAAAGAACCAATGATGTAAAGGTGTATGTCTAGGCAAGATGACTGGGAGAAGGGCATTGCAGGCATGGCACAAAAAGTGCAACAAGGAAGAGGGTTCTTCCAAATACACAGTTTACTAATGGGCTCAGGTAGTTCATGATTCTTTTTACATGCTTAAGCAAAGTTTTCTCAGTACTTTTTCTCATGAGAAAAGATTCAGTTGAACTCTTTACCCTGAGAAAAGCCCCCATTGCTTTCATTAAATTTTTTAATGTGTCTGTGTTTGAAACAGTCACTATTGATCAACAGGGAAACATAAAAGTTTATTTTTTGTGTGTAATAAAACCTTAAAGTTGTAAAGAAAAAGATAATATAGAGATTGCTATGATGGACAAATGGTTTCTTTGCCTTGTCGGCAAAAAAAAAAAATTCTATATGAAGTTACTGTATATTCCTTAAATAAATACTAAGTGTTGGTTCAAAATAGATGAAATACTTGTGAAAAGTAATTTAGGCATTGTTCACTATGATAGTAACCTGTGAGCTCTAGCAATGTATAGTAGACTATAAAAATGATGTAGGCTATCTGTTCAAGTTTGAAAGTTTGAATTTTTAATAGGATTAATGTGCCCCCCAAATTAAGCTAAATTAACTACTTATGAATGAACTGAGTTATAAAATCAATACCACCTGTGTTTCTTTATATGTGTGGATTGGAGTTGCTTCCTCTGCAACACACAGTTGGTGTTTAGAGAAATAATATTTTTTTCTTCTTTTATGTATTTTAGAAGAAAACGTTTTCCCATAAATGCATCTTCTCTCTTGGTCACAAATTTTTCTTAATGTTCATATGTCTTTCACACAATCAATTGTTTGCAGTATAGTGACCCCTTCCTTTACTCAACTTACTTGCTTCACAAAATGGAATTTGGACTTTTGGATACCAGTGGATGAGTAAAGTTTTAGGTTATCATGCTGTGATGCTGCCTGGCAGTCAGCAACAATGTTGTGAAAGCCTTAACTACATTCATATTACAAAGATATGTGTTGATTATTTGAAAATTTTATCATATTATACCTCTAATTTTTTTTTTTGCTTTTTTTACTAGCTATTTTTTCTCTGACAGTAACAATCCTTAATGTGAAAATAAGAGAATTTGCTCTGATAAGAGGCCTCTAGAAGCAATATCTATGAAGGAAAGGGAATTAAATTCCAGTCTGTAGCTAGATACTGACACCTAAGAGATGGCTGTTAGATGATTCATTTTAGTGTGGCACGGTAAAGAGACATGTGGAGAGATGGCTATACCTTTATTATTTTACAGAATGCAATATAAAAGAATTGCTGATCGTTACAAACAACATAATTGAATAAAATGTGATCATAACTACAACTGTAAAAAACAGCTCATTTTGACCCTTAATCATAGACATATTGGATTTAAATAAGTCAATATGGGTCAAATATAAAGTAAAAATAAGAAAACTAAGGGTGTATAATCTTTATATTTTTACAAAATTTGGTACCAATTCCCTATATCATTTATTTGGCTTTGAGTAATTATTGTCTTGATTTAAGTTTGACTTTTTTTGGTTTAAACTAAGTCTAACTATCATATTGATTCTGTTTCAATCTTAGTTTTGACATTGTTGTAGAAGTTCACCCCATGAGAAGTTTCCACTGAAATAGGCTTCTGTGACTATTATATATACCATGAATCATATAAGACTTGGCAGTTGGGTTCTGTCAGAAAGCCATAAATATGATTAAGTCAACAAAGCAAGAGATGGGACTGACAATTTATAAAAAAATCTTACCTATGTAAACAAATAGCTGCAGCCAGACAAATGACTCAGTATACTCAATATCTTTTACTTCTCCATTTCTCAGGTGCTCTCTCACTCTTCTGGTCTCTCTCCTTCTCTCCCTCTATCCCTTCCTCTGTCAGCCTATCCTTCCACACATGTTAATTTTTTGAAGCAATTTAACAAAATGTGTTTTCTCTGCAAATTAAAAACACATACACACACACACATACATACACACTTGTTTAAGTGTGAATTCCATGGCTGATTTTTTTTCTGCATCAGTGATCCAGAAATAACAAAAAAAATACATTTATGTTTCAGTGTAATACCAATGAGGGATGATAAAAAAAACAAGGACAAAGCAGACAAATTCACCTGGCTCACATTCTAAGTGAGGGAAGTGACAATGAGCACTCTAAATTGCCAGGACTAATAGAGTAAGTGGTTATTTGTAGCAATGACATACAAGCAGGCTTGGCTTGACTGCTGCAGTGCTTAGAAGTCTTCGTGCCAAAGAAAGAGAAGAAAATGAACAATAGAAGGAAATCTCTTTTTCATTTCTTTATTAGTGTCACATACACTGGTGCCAATAATGCTGTCAGGCAGATGTTTTGACTTAAATATCCCTGGCAGTGACTTTATTGAAAATCAACACAAATCATGGTCAACTATCAGTTTTTACTCCCCAAAGAAATAATTGTCAAAATGACAGCTCAGAAGGCCTCATGAGGGGAAAACCAAAGCTCAAAGTCTGTGAGGGGAAGGTGTTCTGTGTCACAGTTGTCAAGCTGTAATCGGGTCAATGGTCCTTTCTTTATTTGATTTTACTTGTACATCAGTTCCACTCATTTCTAGAAAGAAAAAAAAAAAGACTAATAGAGTTATCAGGTGAGCACTGTGCATAAAATCAATCCCATTAGCCTGAAGGGAAAGAAAAACTCTTGTGTGTGAATGATGTTAATTTGTGTATATGTATTTGATTTTACGTGTTTTCTTATAATAACAATAACCACATTTATCCTAAACTACCTCTTTATGAATCCCTTGATAAATATTTGTTTCAAATCTTAGAAGAATGATTCATATTGTAAAATGTTTATTCATTATTTTAATTATATTTCATAACATTGAGCCTTTTTCAAATTGTGTTTACATTCACGGCCCTTCTTGATTCCTTCAACAATTCAGAAAAGTAGGTAGGGAAGATAAGTTTATATGTAAATAACAGTGCAAAATCTGAGTTTCAAAGTCTTTGTGACTTGATAGTGAGGATAGATGGTGTGTGTGTGTGTGTGTGTGTGTGTACGTGCACGCATGTTGTCTAAAGGAAAATGGTAGAATGATGTGAGAGTAGAGTCCACATTTTCTAACTCTATATTCTCAATCTGTTATCTACTCTAGGCTGATTTCTAGTTCAGATTAGTCACTTCCATTATCTATTTAGTATTTTAATTTAGGGATAATAATAAATTTTCCTATCACAATTAGTTTAATAACTAGTGATATGGGCTTGTTTGTGATCAAAAGATGATAAATTCAGTTTGGAATTAGAGATATCTGAAATGCATGTGTTTTTTAATTCATTCATTTAACCTTTCTTCATTTCATTCATCAACCAAATAGTTTTCTACCAATGTCACCTTGAGCAATACTGAGGTGGTGAGGAATCCAAACACACTTCGGGTTTCACATCTTTGCACTGAGTAACCTTGAGTAAGTGATTGACCTCCTTGTTATAAGCTTTTTTAATATGTCATATGAGTGTGATAGCCCCTACAACTTTGAACTGTTGGGAGGATTATGTGCTGTAATAATATATTATTACTACTGAGCACCAGCTACATTCCAGGCATGGATTTAAGCTCTGGAGATATATTAGTTAGGAAAATAAACAGTGCCCTGCTTTTTCAGAATCCCCTTCATTAAAGGAAAAAGTATTACAATAAAAAGGAGCAAATATAGTCAAACCTCATTATTCACAGTAGTTATGCTTTATAATGTTACCACGAACACTGAATTAACACATACTAAACCATTGCTCCTAGGGGAAATACAAGGTAGGTTCCTGTGAGCCTCTGATCACAGATTTTTTGTAGACTGAGCAATACATAACCTTGTTTTGTGTGTGTTTCTGCTTAAAGACACCTTGTTTAATAGATGCTGTTGATTCACTGACGTTGAGCTTACAGCCAACAGCACAGTAACTCATGCCTGAACAAGGCTCATCTAGCACACACATTTTCTCTGCAAGGCACAGCATAGTTTTCTTGCATTTAGGAACACTAGACAGTACTTCAGCACTACACTTGTGGTTATTTTAAACAGATAAATCACTAACAAAAACATGAAAAATGGGAAAAACATGGCACAAAATATACTGCAAAAAGGACACTTGTTTATAGTATGAGAGATGAAACAAGAAGGTAGAGAGTTCTGCCTCAGATGAGAATGTGTCCCTGAGTGACAAATTTTTCACAGCTCTGCACATGCCTGTGAATGGCTTTGAAAACACCACTGCAAGTATTAGATTTGAGGTAACAAGTAAACTTTAGTGAGTGGGCAGTTTTGCAAATATAGAATTTGTGAAAAATGAAGACAGATTACATGTATGTATGTGTCTAAAATATACCCAATGGTAAAATGTGTGATGGAGAAAAATAAATCAGGGTAAAGGGGACAGAAAGTGCTCTGCTGGTAGTGGTGAGTGTGTGTATGTGTCTAAAGTTGTCAGTAAAGACCTCTGTGACAAGCTGGCATTTGAACAAAAATCTTAAGAAAGTTAGGGAGGATGCCATGTATATATGTATCAGAAATGTCTTCCAGGCAAAGAATAGCAAGTGAAAATGACTTGAGGCAGTATCACCATCCTTTTGTTTGAGAGTCAGCAAGAAGGCCTGGGAACAGAAGTGGAGAGAGGCAGGAATCGTGGAGACGAGTTCAGAGGGATTGCAAAGGGATAGGTCACATGAGGCATTAGAGAGAGCTATGGGAAGTCAAGGGGGATTTGAGAAGATGAGAAGCATCATCTGATATATTTAAAGTGGATGATTCTGACTTTTGTTGAGAATGGATGGGAGGGAAGAAGGAATTTATTTAGGAGATTACTACAGTTCCAGAACTTATTACAATAGTTTGGCTGAGCGATGATGATACTTTGTCCTGGGACAGTCAGGGGTGGTCAAACTTTGGATCTATTTGAAAAATAGAGTTGATAGGATTTTCTGACTGTGTATAAGGTATAGGAAAAGAGAAGTCTATGGTAACTCCATGATGACTCTCCAAGCAACTGGGAGAATGGAATTGCTTTCAATGAGAGGGGAAAACTATATGAAGGGTGGCTTGGGGGAAAGGGACAATCAGGAACCTGGTTTTGTGTATGCAAAATTTCAGATGCAGATTTGAAACACAAGTGGAAACATCAAGTCCTTGGCTGTTGTGTGAGTTTGGACTAGAGTTGTACATTGAGAATCAGACACATATGATAATATTTAAAGCCAAGAGACTGGAGGGGATCACTGAGCAAGGAGGATACGAGGTGCTAAGACTGAGTCCTGTACATTAAATTACTAGATGATTTTTGGCCTTAATAAGTGTTTATATCTGTTTCATTGGTATTAATTGAGTCCATGAAGCTTCCCATGATTTTGTACACGGTTGGCATGATCTTATTGTGTCCTTATTTATATAATATAAATAAAAAATAAAAGTTGTACATTTTAAAAATACTGAGTTATATCTTAAAGACACCAGAGTGCAATTTTGTGTTGTATATTTGCAAATGCAAAGTCTTAAGACAAATGTATCATAAAACACCAAATGAATTGTAAATTAATTGTTAAATCACCCTATAATGCTGAGGTACATTTTTATGGACTATCAACAACCAAAAGTTGTGATTGTGCCATAAATATCATTACCTTACTTGAGGCAGCAGTCTTTGTATCTATCTGATGCTTGTTCAACTGACTCACCTTTCTGCTCTACACACTTTCATTGGATAGCAAACCAAATGTCTTTTTGTGGGTTATTATTTAGTTTTTCTAAAAACACATTTTTGTATCTTCCCTTTCAAAAATATTTCATCCTTTCTAATACTTGCTCCAGCCCAGCCATGGTGCATGACTCTCCCATAACATACTCACCCCCCACTGTCATATAGGAAAGCCCAGTTAATGCAGATTATGGGAGGATGCCATGTGTATATGTATCATTTAGTCTCTGTTTTATGTAATTTTCAACATATTCAACATCAACTTGATGTGCCTTCCAAAATTCTTATGTCCACCCATCTGCTTCTTCACATGCCAAAAACCAAGGTAAATGGCTCTTAATCCTTAGTTCTGAAGGAAATAGTTGGACTACATGAATTATTCTACCTTGCTGTATGATATGTAATTGTGAATGATACAATTGCTTGCATAATGTTACGTACTTTTAAAATGTATTTGCCTACACCCTGCACACATGCCCTTGCTTTTCTGTAGCAATTCTAGTCAGTCCTAAGAAACTATGAAACTAAGAAACTATGCCTATTAGAGCTAAAGCAAATTAATCCTGAGTGACTCACATCTTACCTTATCTTACCCACCCATGTCTTTCACAGCAGTGTGTAATCCTACATTTCCAGGAACATAAGTTTATTGTAATTAACTGCACTTTTATAAATAACAAAACTTTGTTTTACTCTATTGTGATATTAAACTAATTACCACTTAAAAATGGAGATAATTATATCAGCCTTATCAAGAATTGTGCAAAAATGTCAGAAAGAGCATAAAGTGATACAGAAAAAGAAAGTTGTCTTTGAATATGTAAAAATTATAATACTGAATAGATTTATAGCAATATATGCATTCATATGCATGTTTAAAATATATATGTGATATACATGTATAAAAATGTTTAATCATCTTCCTTTACCAGAGTGAGATTGATATCTTCAGTTTGCTGCAATTCATCATCTCACTTTCTTAAAATCTTTTTATATATTTATCAAAATTAGGGCCTTTATTCTGGAATCATATGGAAATGAAATAAAGTCTCTGGCTTTCTCATTTGCATAATTGCAAAATTTTGATTTATGTGTTAACCTGGCACTATTTCTTGGCAGTGTCTTTACTGTTAGCAGCAAGCTTATTTTTGCAGTACATTAGTTCTCTATTACTAAATTTCAGTTCGAATTCTTTGTAAGAATTTTTTTCTCTGCCCCCTGACACATTCTCTCTTTCTCCATCAAATAGGCTTCTGTTTGAGTAGTTTATTAGTGGCCTTCTGTGAAATAAAGACGCTTCTGTGTGGGGCTGTGATTTCCCTGCTGCCCCTGCTTTCAGAGGCAAACCCTTGCTGCTTCTTTTGCCCAGGCTGATTCTGTAGTTTTTAGAGATCACCCTTGCAGTCTCACTACTTTCCCCAAATTTAAATATTTGGGCAAATTAACGTCTTCCCCTCTTGTGTTTCCCTCCTCACTCCCTTTCTCTGTCCTTCCTTTTAAGAAAGCAACTAAAGTTGGGTGTGAAAGGGCAGTTTCTGTGTTCCCTAAACAAGGCACCTTATGTACTAATGAGACACAGTCCTGCCCTACCAAGTAAAGAGCTGGATTAGTTTTCAGTTTCAGCACAAATACGGCAAAAACAGGCAACGTACTGTACCAGGTACTCTGAGGGGTTAACATTTCAGGACAGGTCCATTTTGCAGACATTTTTTGTTATGTATTCAGTGACTGAGAGAAGATCTCTTGTGCTGCTCCAGTGAGAGAAGGAAAAAGGATCAGTTTGGACCTTTTAGGGGTATCCCTTTGTGTGGTAGACATCACATCATGGGAGGTTGGGCATGCAGAGATCCCTGAGAACACAGGACACAGAACCATGAGAACAGGAAGAGAGCTAGGAGAGTGTGTGAAGACTTCCAGACTGCCCCAGTGAGAATCAGTGTTCCCAAGTCTGGGTAAAGATGGCCTCAGAGCATTGTGCTGCTCTCACCTCTGCATGGCAATTGCCCTTTGATGTGTCTGTCTTTATAGAATCTAAGCCCAGTAAGGACTTAGTGCTCCAGAATAAAACAGCTTTTCCATATTTGAAGAATAAATACAGACTGCTCCAAAAATACTTTAAGCATACCTCAATTTTATAGCACGCTCTAACAGAAGGAACAATTTGTCTGACTGTGGCTTCCTGCGGACACAGAGTGTCTATTAAGCATTTTACATTCTCAGTAAATAACGATTCTTTGTTCATATGCTTCCCAAGAATATAACATAGCGCCATACTCATAGAGTTAAATATTTGTCAAATGACATAACAAATAGAAGAATGCAAAAAAACAGTGATAGCCAAATGTATAGTTAATTAATGTGGTTTTAATAATTATTTTTCCTTGCTACTTTATGACCCTTTGGTCTTTATTCTCTGGAGAAGAAGCAGAGGAGGGTTATTAAAAAATACCACAGGCACTGGCAGGAAATACCATGATGGATATTTATAATATCATAGACATTTTGGAAAGAAAAGGGGAAAGCCAATGAAATAAAAGCAAAACACGAAAATAAATAAACAGACACCCATATGACATGAATTTTTTCACCCCTTGGCTGACATAGAGAAGTATATAAGTGCCTCTGATTGCTACTCAATTGTAAACAGTAGCAGGGAAAAAAAGACAAATCAACAAATGACCTCTGACATTTATTCAAAATATTTTTTCAGGGTTGACAGCCA